TTTTTTTTATCTTCTTTTTTCGAGATGACCACCAATGTTTTGGTTTGCGGCCTCTATAGAACGTGTCTTTCTTTTTCCTGCCGTTCATATATAATGGATTGTAGTGTTTCTATGAAATTCATGCATTCCAAACGGAACGGCCGATATGTTTGTTTGCTTTTCTTCTCTGCCGCTCGTACATTTGTTTGCAAAATCCAAGCTATATATGCTCCTATATATACAGGAACTGAGAGTACAATGAGTTGGTTGTTGCCTCTGTCAGTGTCCAGCTGACTGTAGCAGCCAGCGCATTTGATGAGCATTTTTCTCCTCCTTTATTCCATGGAGAACAACAACGATTCTCTGGTAAACAATCACACGGATTGAAAAAGCATGTGTGCGCTTTGTACAATTCCAAGAAACTTTGGGTTGAACCAAGACGCACATGCCACCCAAGTTCACCGATATCAAAGATTGGTAGACGTTGGATCACCAAATGTACAACTGCGTTTTTTCCAAGCACCGGTACAATACCAAGATAAATATTGGGTGAATTCGGCCTGCCAAAACATGTTATGTTGCCAACTATTTTGGCTTGGCAAACTTATACAGACTGAAAACATGAATGAATTCTATAGACGCTGTGATTATTCTGTACCAAATACCTTGGCCTGGGGCAGACCAGACAGACAAGCGGCAAACTGAAAGGCACCGTTCATTCGGAAGATTCGCCGCAAAAGGAAGGTAAGGTAATCCAACACATGGTGAATAAAATTCCAACATGGCAGTGACCTAAACCATGACAGCAACAAGGGTCCAGAAAGATGGAATGACCATCATCTGTATTTATTCAGCTTCTCATCATCCCACAGCCCGTGCAGATCGCATTTACGTCTCTGTAATGTGGGAGTTAAATATGAGTTTGTCTTCCTCCATCCCTCGGCAAACCGGCATGAGGGAGAAAGGTAACTAGCTTCAAGGTGCAAGTCAGAAAACCAAGCAAGTTTGCGCTGCTTGAATCTGGGATGAGCTTGCATGGATTAAAATAACAGATCAGCATTGCCATCAGCTCGATGGCTCCAGTAACACCAAAGCATCAGTTAGTTTGCGCTGGAATTCAGCAAAGATGCACGCGCGCACAACAAGGTCAGAGGAAAGCGGACACTGAAGCAGGTCCCACAAGATGTGTCAACCTCGAATGATCTGCATGTGAGCATGAAAGCGTTCAGGATTTGCTTAAGCAGATAACATGTTTTTTTTTCACGATTCTAAAGTGTCCATTTCCTATATAAATTGCTTGAAAGCAGT